AACTACAGACTACGAACGACCCTTAGAGGTGTCGCCCGTTATTACTCACTTAATCCAAACAAAATTGATTACTGTTGATTAACGACCTGGATTTGTTTACTTTGATTTCAAATAAGCCTAACAGACACGGAGAAGAGGAATACAAGGTCCTGCTAATTACGCGTGTTATTTAAGGCTGTTGGTTATACGAAGGACACATTGGCCCATTTCATATTTGATTAATTTGGACCTTACTAGCAATGCTAATGGGCCACCAAGGCCCAATAGCACATATAAGCCATTGAGGGTCCCTTAAACATGTAATTGGGTCACAAGAGGCCCAATAGACATGTGTTATTATCGTCGAACCCAAAAGTCACGTCAATGGGTCACAAAGGCCCATTAAGCATGATTAAGATCTTTCAAGTCCAACTATTTGAATATTTACGTGTTTTAGGTATAATATAATGGTCGGAAGTTTGATTGAAAAATTGTTATAATCTCAACAGCACGAAACTTGTCGGTTGTTTATAACGATAATTGAAAATATATGTATATTTTTCCTTCTATTTTCACAAGTTGTAATGTGGTATTCTTTTTAACCCAAATGTCTTAAAACCAAAATAATTGACTCAAAATATTGATTTGACCCATTCAACCCTTTCTTTAATAAAAATGACAATTTTAGTCCCTTACATAAAGAAAAGACATTTTAGGCCCTTAACTCATTTTCTTGACATTTTTGACCATAGACTTGTTTAAATAAAGGTTTTTAGCTCAAAATTTACTCTTTGGCAGTTTCAGCCCTTCCAATACAGAATTTTCAGTTAAAACCCAATCTTTTCGCAACTTTTACATTTTGGCCCAATTTCCAAAAAACTTTACATTTTTGATCCTTTTTGGAAAAGAAAAGCATTTTAACCCCTGAATTGGTTTTGTTTACACTTTTTACCTCCTGTTTTGTGAAATTTATCATTCAGCCCCTTGAAAATTTGGTTTTTCGCAATTTTGGGCTCAATGGGCCGAAAAGCCCAAAAATTGGCCCATTAAGCTACAAATTACATTTCTAGTCCTTTGAAGAGTATAATATTCATAAAAACATTTATTTTAACTGTTTTGACTCTTTTGATCCTTAAGAAAACCGTGAATGGCAATTTTTAACCCAACTTTTGTTTATTTGACAAATTAAGCCCAAAAATTGGTTTTATGTTGCAATATGTTGATTTTAATCTTAGAGGGTAATTTTCTTGACTTGTTTAGTGTAATATACCTTAGATCATGTTTGTTTTCCTTCTTATTCCATAGATCTCGAGATTTCTTTCCTTTTTGTTTACATATTCAACACATAAGCACATAAAATCACACATACATACATGAAATCATACATAGCATACACATACACATAGATCTACACATTTTACTTGTATTCTCCCCCATAAAACTTGTAAAAACCGAAAATAGAGGGGTATGAACTCACCTTCTCTAGTTGCTCACGGTTTTGAAGAAAAATGAAGAAAATTTGGTCCTAGCAAGCCTTCTTGGAAGATCTTTGGCTTAGATGTGTTCTAAGAGGCATGATTATGAATTTGAATAGATTAAGAGGAGATTTTTGATGAAATGAAGTAATTAGATCATGGATTTAAGCATCAACTTACCTAAGATGATGACTCTTATGGAAAATCCTACTTGAAAAGCTCTTAAATCTCGAAAATTTTGAAGGAGAAGTGAAGGAGTTGTAGTGTGTTCTTGAGAGTGTTTAAGTGAAATAATTGTGTGTGTGTGTGATACTCTCGGCCGAGAGTAGTAGAAGAAGAAGAGAGAGAGAGAGATGAAAGGATGTGCATGGAAACATGTGAAATTGCTTGGATATCCCATAGGTATTAAGGAGGTGGCTAATCCTCCTTAATCCTATAATTCCTTTTTTTTTTACTTGGGCCGAGAGATAGAGAAGAGAGGAGAGAGTTTGGGCCTTGAGTGCTTAAGTCCAAGATATGGGCCCAATATACATCAAAGTATGAGTTTTATGGCCCTTTAGGGCTAATTAAATTTGTTATGGCCCAATAAGGGTATTTTATTTCATTCTAGGCCCATTATGGCCCAAAATGTTAAAATAAAAGAAAGTGGGTCCAATTAGAGCCCATATAGGAGTTCTAAGCCCAAAATAGTCAAATTGGAAGCTTATTGGTCCATTAGGCCCAATAAGAAAATCCTAATCCATAATGGACTTAAACCGGGATTTCTAGGGTTTCCAATCTTTGTTGACTATTTGAATGCTTGTATAGGAATTTTGTTGTCATTGATTTAACACAATACATGTTTTCTAGCTTTAGGTACAATGTCATTCTTTGTTAAGTGCCTACAACGTATCATAATTCCTAGTTGTGACAGAAATCATTATGCCTTAACGTATTTCATCATCTCTTCACGGCAACACCCTTCATCTTTCTCTCCCAAGAAACCCACATTTCATCTTCCTCCTCCTATCCTTCAATTACCAAACGCAATTTCAAGCTTTTGGGGTTTACTGATAAGGAATCAACAATAGTCCCCACCATATGGACTTTGCATGAAAAAACTACAATAAAACGTGACTTGCAAGCTGGGTACGGTATGGTTCTACAACCAGTGAGGCTTTTTCTATTACAAGGTGTTCATCAAAGACTGACATTGTGTTTACCCTCTTTTTTTTTATGATTACAGAAGGATTTGACAACTATTTCATGTTGGAGATACAACTATAATGGTATTTTCACCAAGCCATTAAATTGAGAACAACTCAAAAATTGCCTATCGGGTTAAAATTGGTCCAAGATGTCATCTTCGTTGTTGGACTTCCACAATGGCAAATCACCATCTTTATGGAGTCTTCGAGGGCAAAAATATTCAACGGGAAGAAGAAAGTAACTTAAAGATGTAGACATTATATGCTTATGCAGAGTGTCAAAAGTTAAAAGACGCATTTGCCCTCACTTGTTTTGCACGCGATTTGATTTAACGGACCAAAAGTGACGGAGTGAGCCAAAGAACTATTTGTGAAAAGTTTTTAAATCACATGAACCCTTAAAAACAAAACAAAAAAAAGTTAGGGACTAAAACCATAATATGAAAAAGGGAACCTATTGAAAATTCCTTATGCTTAGGTCTGGTAATCGATTTAGTCATTACCTTTTTTTAGTCAATTAAGTCCTAGAAATATCAATTATAATTCATTTTGACTTTTTTTTTGCAAATAAATCCAAAATATAATGATTTTTTTTTAAAAAAAATATATTATTTTATTTTATTTAATATTATCTTAGTATATTTTTTTATTTAACGGACTGTTTTATCTTACATTAATCTTATGATATTTTCTTTATTTAGACAGTGGATATCTGTTATGAAAATAATTTTTGTTCTTCTAAAAATAACTGTTTTTATAATAGTTTTGTCAAATGGATTGTATTATCTTACATTAATCTTATGATATTTTCTTGTATTATCTTACATTAAACTTATGGTATTTTCTTTGTGTGACAAATAATATCTATTATGAAAAAAATTCTTCTAAAAATAACCGTTTTTATTATATTTATGTTTAGCGAATTGTATTATCATACATTAATCTTATTATATATATTCATTAATTGTCAATAATTTATATTATGAAATAGATTTTTTTTTCTTCGGAAAATAATCGTTTTTATAATATTTTTGTCTAACAGATTGTTATCTTACATTAATCTTATAAAAAAAGTTTTTTAAAAAAAAAAACTATTTTCATAATATATATTTTTTATCAGACAAAGAAAATACCATAAGATTAATCTAAGTTAGCAATATGTTAGACAAAAATGTTATAAAATTATTATATTTAGAAGAAAAAAAATATTTAATAATAGATATTATATGTCAGAGAAAAAAAACACTATAAGATTAATGTAAGATAATACAATTAGTTAGGCAAAAATATTATAAAAGCAATTATTTTTAGAAGAAAAAAAAACTATTTTTATAATAGATATTTTCCATCAGATAAAAAAATATCATAATATTAATATAAGATATCAATCTGTTAAACACAAATATTATAAAAAAAAGTATTTTTAGAAGAATTTTTTTTTTCAAAATAGATATATCTGTCAAACAAAAAAAACATCATAAGATTAATATAAGATAATACAGTCTGTTAGATAGAAAAAATATAAAAATGATTATTTTTAGAAGAAAAAAAAACTATTTTCATAAAATATATGTTAGAAAAAATACCATAAGATTAATATATGGTAATACAATTTGTTAGACAAATTAATACTAACATAATAAAATAATATCAAAAAAATTTAAAATAATATATTTTTAAAAAAGTTGTTATATTTTGTATTTGTTTACAAAAAAAAATCTTTATATTATGTTGGTGATCGGTTTACCGGTAAAAATGATCAAAATGAATATAACTAATGTTTTTAGACTTAATTGACTAAAAAAAGATAAAGACTAAATCGATTATAACAACTCAACATAAAGAATTTTCGTTAGATTTCCCATGAAAAACTATGAAACCATTTATAAACTTTTGTTAGGAAATAAATAAACAAAAAAGTCTCGCTATCAGTGCTTTTTGGTCAACATTTGGAATGTAAATGACGAAGTCTCGAGCAATGATTCTTTGTGACTTGTACCTCATGCATGATAAGTTGTACACAGGGTTTTATCCCTTTCACTCCTTAAATAAATAAAGTTTGATTTAAAAAGTCAAAACACCTACAGTCGTTAATTTTCAAGCAGTTCTATGTAAAATAATTTTTTTTAATGCAAATTTTCTTGTGTGCCGGAAATGATCTTTGTTTGAATATCTTCACACTCTCACAGCCTGTGTTAATTCTCCGCTTAACTTTTAGCCTTAAAACAACTTATATATGGGAAAATCGAAGTTTTTTCTTGTGAGGGAGAACACAATGAGCTCCTATATAAACACAAAGCTTCTTTCTTTCACAATCATCAAACACACATACACACAAAGAAATAAAAGAGATCTAAAGATGGGAAAAGATGATGTGAAGCTTCTAAGCATGTGGGCTAGCCCTTTTTGCATGAGGGTGAAGGTGGCATTGGCAGAAAAAGATATTGCTTATGAAGAGATTTTAGAGAATAATTTGTTAGGTGGAAAGACCGAATTGTTGCTAAAATCAAACCCTGTCCACCAACAAGTTCCTGTCCTCTTGCACGACAACAAGCCCATCCTCGAGTCCACTAACATTATCACTTACATGGATGAAGTTTGGCCTTCCAAACCCCTCTTGCCCACTTGTGCATATGAGAAAGCCCGGGCCCGATTTTGGGCCGACTACATTGATCGCAAGGTAAGCCCTCTTTTTAATTAACACTTACTATGACAAATACATGTACTTGATTGGAATACCCGTAATCGGTCTCGGCTGGTCCATATCTGAGGACGTGAGACCTGGTTTTGGGACCAATTACATTATGTGGTCCCAAAACCAGTTGTGGGGTTGTGGGATGTCAGCCCTCTTTATTTTGGGCCGACTACATTGATCGCAAGGTAAACCCTCTTTTTAATTAACACTTACTATGACAAATACATGTACTTGATTGGAATACCCGTAATCGGTCTCGGCTGGTCCATATCTGAGGACGTGAGACCTGGTTTTGGGACCAATTACATTATGTGGTCCCAAAACCAGTTGTGGGGTTGTGGGATGTCAGCCACCTGACATACCACAACATAACACAACTGGTTCAGAGTGGTATATTTTTAGAAAGAGTTCATCATTATGTATATGTATATCCTAGGTTCACTCGGCGGGTCGGGCCATTTGGACTGCAAAAGGAGAAGATGAAGTAGAGGCCGCTAAGGCAGCGTTCCTTGATATCTTGAAGTTCTTAGATGGTACTTTGGCTGAAAAAGACTATTTCGCTGGGGACAACTTCGGGTTTGTGGACATACTGCTTGTTGGTCTAACTTCGTGGTTCCCGGCCTACGAGAAATACGGTAGCTTTAAGGTGGAGGATCACTACCCTAAATTGGCGGCATGGATCACGCGGGCCCATGCTAGGGAGAGTGTTTCTGAAGCTTTGGCTAATACTGAAAAAATCCTCAACTTTGTAGTAATGTTGAGACAAATGTTTGGTGTTGAATGAATGAAGATTGTTATGTCATGAATGATGATGATAGAATATTATGGGTGGTGGGGTGTTTAGATCCACTAAGAATAAGGAGTTGGAATAAAATCGGTTTGAAAATTATCTTTGAAAGCATTATTGTTGTCTTTGAGGGGGAGAATGTATGTTTTTTTTTCTATCTGATGTAATGGATCAAATTGGATATCTTGTTGAATGTTTGATCCCTTTATTTTTCTATATAAACGAAATTTATTAATTCTGAGATGTTTTAGATTAATGTAATGTTTCTTGTTATTAAAGTTTAATTTTAGATACGTTACTTTCCCCTAAATCAAATAGTTTATATAGTGACATTTTTATTAAATATGTTTATAATTTTTAGTGACAATTACTTGTTAGCATGTGATTTTTTATATCAAAATTTAAAACATATCTGTCAACATGTGATTTTTTATATCAAAATTTAAAACATATCTGTCAACTTTTAAAATATGATGTAAGTAGAAATAAGATACTGTGCTATTTATTTTTGTAATGATATATATATATATATATATATATATATATATATATATATATATATATATATATATATATATATATATATATATATATATATATATTCGGTCAACAACAAACTATTTATTATATATGGTTTATTATTAAATCTATTTGGTTGTTCAAAAACTATAATTTGACTGGATATTATAGGTTATGCTGGTTATCTTGTTTATTTGAAAAAAAAGTAAATGTTAATTATGTGTATATATGGTTATTACTTAAGAGGATAATGTATCATGCCTCGTTTATAAATTTAGTAAGTAAAACCTCTTCGGTTGATCAAAAACTACAATTTGGACAAAGTATTATAGGTTATGCCGGTTACCTTGTTTATTTGAAAAAAAATGTTAAGAGGGTAATGTATCATGCCTCGTTTACAAATTTAGTAAGTAAAACCTCTTTGGTTGATCAAAAACTACAATTTGGACAAAGTATTATAGGTTATGCCGGTTACCTTGTTTATTTGAAAAAAAAATGTTAATTACATGGATATAGTTAATGAATTTAAAGGATAGAGTAAAATGTATCTTTTACAAATTTAGTAACTAAATTATTTTTGTCACTATTACCATTAAATTAGGTGTGATAGTGCTGCAACTTTGGCTAAGACTTATAGTCAAGTGTATAATGGGATGTAACATCCATAAAATTCATTCCAAATTTAAACTTTTCAAAGCAACCCATTTATTAAAGAGGTGTTTACAAAACCGTTGTTCCCAAAACATTTATTTAAAACCATAATCATTTACACATAGTTTCAAAATATTTACGTTATCAGAGTATCCCAGAAACCATAAGTTCTAAAAACACGAGGATGTGTACAGTCACGCCTTCGCGTTGCCAAAACATCTAGAGCATCTAAAACAATAAACTGAAACCGTAAGCACGAAGCTTAGTGAGTTCCCCCAAAATACCAACACACACAAAATAACATATATCACAAACAACATACTACGGGTCCAATCATCCATCGGGATGAAATACCCCAGACCCTCAACCATCGGGTTGGAATGCCAATATACTATGGGTCCAATCATTTATCGGGATGGAATACCCCGTCCCTTCAACCATCGGGTTGGAATGCCAACATACTATGAGTCCAATCAACCATCGGGTTGGAATACCCCGACCCTTAACCATACTATGGGTCCAATCAACCATCGGGTTAGAATACCCCGACCCTCAACCATCGAGTTGGAATGCCAACATACTATGGGTCCAATCAACCATCGGGTTGGAATACCCCGACCCTCAACCATCGGGTTGGAATGCAAACATACTGCGAGTCCAATCATCCTCGGGATGGAATACTCTCGGCCCTCAACCATCGGGTTGGAATGCCCAGCCTGTTGGCTTATGCACAAAGCAGTGAAGCCTCAACCATCAATAAATCATATGCACATATATCAAATAATCACATAACAGTCTAGAGACAATCAAACCGATCTACAGATCACTAAGCATAGCAACATCCTATCTACTAGGATACCGATCTAATAGATCATAACCATATAGAGACATCCTATCGACAGGATACCGATCTAATAGATCATAACAGTAATAAAACAGGATAACAATCCAAAGGGTCGACCTTAGTGCCTTAGTCACCCTGTTGATATAGTGAGAAGAAATCACCTCGCAAGTAGCACTGGATGATAATGTCAATCTCCCAAAACACCGCTTCAAACTCCAACACCTACAACCACCATATGACCAATTCTATCAAGACCTAATTACCATAATACCCTCAGAAGTCAACTTGGTCAACCATGGTCAAAGTCAACAGTCAACAGTCAAGGTCAACAGTCCATGTTGACCCAAATCGTTGAGTGCATCTAACAACTCGTCGAGTTCCTTCAGAACTCAGAAAGCTGTGGAAACTCGACTCAACTTGCCGAGTTGCCAAACAACTCGTTGAGTCCGTACAGTTTCCAGAAGATCGGGGAAAAACCCTAACCACTCGTCGAGTTATCTCACCAACTTTCCGAGTTCACTCAGAGTCAATAAGCGGGAAAACCCTATCTAACTCGTCGAGTTGGCTAAGCAACCCGTCGAGTTCCTTTAGCCCTTTTTCTCATTCAAACGCTTTTAAGCGAAACCAAGGCTCCAAATTATAGATCTAGTATTCTAGGGTTGAGATACTACGTAAAGCTGCAAGCTTTACGTCCATGCATGGAATTAAGGGGATAACTTGCTAAAACAAGGCTTAACAAAGGGGTTTAAGGAATGGAAGTTGGCCAAAGATTGATAAAGCTTGAGTCTTTAGGCCTAAGGGGCCTAGTAGAGTCCAGATCCGAAGTCTTAGCTTAAAAGCATGCTCAAAACCAAGAATGACTCAAGAAAAAGCTAGAAATGACCATAAACTCCTGAATGGAGAGATCTCACAAGAAAATGATCAAGGTAATGAATTTTTACATTCAAATGAATGCCACAACGAAGTAGATGCTGGATCTACAAGCTCCTTCTTGTTCTAAGCTTCTCAATCTTCAAGTCTCTTCAAGAAATGCACCAAACACACACTCTTTAGCCTCACACACACTAAAAATAGGAAGTTAGCTCAATTAGGGTTTGTTTCTGGACGTGAAGGTGGTAAGGGAGGCTGGAGGGAAGACTTAAGGATCTTTAAATAAGGTGCAAATCCTAAAAATTAGGGTTTTCATAATCAGCTCCAACTCGTCGAGTTGGGTCCTCCAACTCGTCGAGTAGGTTCTCCGGAATACACGACCCTTCTAGGTTTGTACAGGACGAGTTGGGGCCTCCAACTCATCGAGTAGACTTTCTTAAGTGCACAAATCCCTAAATTTCATTCCTGGAAATCGGGATGTTACATGGGAAGTCTAGACATTTAGCTGTTAGACATAACATGATTCGGGAGCTCGTCATGAATGGTGTAATATCTGTGGAGTTTGTAAGAACTCACTTGAATTTAGTCAATCATCGTTTTGATATGTTTACCGAGCTTAAAACCAATGTTTTAAAAACCAGTTTTTTAGTTGAACCGGTTTGGTGACCAATTTCCGGTTCAACCGGTTTAACCGGTTTGACAGCTGAGTAAACTAGTTTCTATAATTTTAATCTTTTTTTGTATTTCCCTACACATATAGACATACATAAATCAAGAATTTGATGTCCACAAGTTCAAACATTAAAAATACAAATGAAAACAAGTTGTAGATCAATCTAAATACATTAAAATAACACATAAACATAAGTTTTACATCAATCCACATGCATTAAAAAGAAAATAAAGTCCTAGATGAATACAAACTGTTATTTTAATGTATTTAGATTGATCTACAACTTGTTTTCATTTGTATTTTTACATCAATCCACATGCATTAAAAAGAAAATAAAGTCCTAGATGAATACAAACACATCAAAAAACTTTATAACATTTATCATGTGCTTTTATTCAGAAAACTCTTAATAGATGTGAAAAAACCACCAAAGTTTAATATGCAAAATGTTTTGATTCCATGTGTTTTTATTCAATTTAACCGGTTCAAACGATTTAATTTACCCGGTTCAACCAGATTTTTGTAAAAACCGGCGGCTCGTTCCGGTTCAGAAATAGACATAAAATCGGTGATAGTTGAACCGCTCCCTTCCCCGGTTCGCGGTCCAACCGGTTCGACCGACTGATTCAAACCGGTTTTTAAGACATTGCTTAACACTGTCTGGTGGTGGTTTTGTCTGAGTTAAGCGCTGTAATCACAGCAATGAAGAAGCGACGTCAGTCGATATCCGGGAGGTGATCCTGGGAAGAAACTCTGACGGTCTAGTTAGTCTAAGTGTGTACATGAGAATGCAGAGATTAGGGTTTTAGCTACAAGGAAGCGATCCTTTCCTCTAAAGGAGAAGGATCCCTTTTATACATGTCATCCATTGAGCATGATCCCAGTGGTTTCCTGAACTCCCACTTACACAACCTCAATATAAACGTCCACTTGAGCCGTCTCTCCTCCTGGCCAGGATGTGAAACTTGCCCTAGTTCACACCCTTCATGCCTTCCGGAAAAACCTGATCGATTCTCCCCCACTTGGATTCGACAAAGTTCTCTCATCCCTTAAATCCGATGGGTTCCCAACCCATTAACCTCATATAGCATGAACTGCCTACGTCCTGAACTAATCAATACTAACGTTCCATTGTTAGCCAAACTCAATGACCGCCCATTTCCTGAAATCCTGAAGAATACTCTTGAATTCTTAACCAGTCCAATAATCTAAATCACTTCCCATGATACCATACCAATTCCTTAAGTTCTTATGCTGGTAACTAAAACCACAAACCTTGTCATGCACTGACGAACATCCACTCCAATTTCCATTCTCAAAGAATTACTGAACTTTAACCGACTACAGCCCATGTGGATATAAAACTCCCCTGAAACTTCCAAAGACCAACAACTCATGCATATGACATCACAATCTACCTGCTACTGCTCCTCTCCTAGC